GGAGCAGCAGAGATCTCTCGCTACTCGCATGTATTAACTCATAGCTGCCGTGGATTATCACCCATAGATTTTTACACACCTGTTGGGAGGCACACCGTTTCATGCTAGGATTCTCTGTGTCAATGTAAATATTTCATCAGTGACGAATAAAAAAACAAATCTTGATCTGTCTTGGTCTCATTTTCTACACATGGTGACATTTTTCATCTGTCTAAGTCAATCCACGTGGTTTAAATCTGAGTTTTAACCATTTTTATTATCTTGCTGACAGTAGATGGCCCTTGGATCTTAAAGTTGTTACAAATAACATTCAGTCATTGCATGTTTGCACTGAAAACTCACAGAGGGAAAGCATACACACATCTTGCACAGCTCTAAGGACCGTCCGTTTCAGGATCACTAGAGCTGGGGTGACTCTGGTTGTCTTAGCACTCTTTGCAAGACGATTTTAGCCTAAAGGTTTGACTGGGTTCGGCAAAATAGAAACAAATGAAAAAAAAAGTAAAAAATCTGAAATTTAGCATCCAGCTGTCAGTGTAGATTCTCAGTTATTCAGATGACAAGACAACTTGACTTCTTATTCTTTTCCTCTCCTGAGGGGGCCTCACTTCTTGAACCAAATGCTTCTGAGGAAGATTCTTTGGAGGTGAGTGGAACATTTTTTGAGGAACCAAGAAAATAAGCCAGATTTTAATTTATTCATGAACTCTGACTAAATACTTGACACTGCGAAGGAAGAAGGCAAAACATGCATGTGCCTGCAGCCACGTAGAAACAGAGCTCAGAGGGCAGCTTTCTTCTCTGTGCAGAAACCTCGAGCGCTCGTAGTGTATTGACGGTCAAGGCGACTGGGTTCGACTACGAAACCCCAGCTTTAGTTCTTCCTGGCTGCAGCCTGCCAGACCTGGCACGGTGTTTAAACACAGCCTGGATGGAGGTCTTGGAGAGTTACACTTCTGTTGCCGTTTTCTGTTTCTGACTCTTCCTACTGTCTCAGAGAGGTGGAAGCATCCTAATGAGTGGGGTGCAAGACACAAAGACGAGGCTGATTCAACAGGAGCGCCACGAGGAGAAGAGAACGATTGTAAAAGATTTCGAAGGGAGGAGAACATCAATAATCTGAACGGAATGCACCATTCACCCTGGGCACCTCCCCTCGTATCGGTGTGTGCATGAGTGTGTAAGAGCTTATATAAAGGGGGTGAACAGCCTACGCCGATGTATAAATACCCACGATGCCGCTGGTGGAGCAGGGAGAAGGGTCACTGTGAGTCAGCACACCCATATCACTCCTCCTCTTTCTCCCTTCCATCAACGCATCCTCTCCTCTCCTCCTCCGTCTTTATTTACATCTTCCATTTTATGCTGTTACACAAAAGCACAAAGGATTTCACTTGGCAGGCAAACAGTACCCTCCAGATGGTGATGATTGTAAGATAAGAATGGTGTAAACAAAAGAAAACAATCAGTTATACTTTTACCAAAGCTCCTTTTGAAATCTCTCCGTTATCTTAAAATGATAATGAAAACCACGTTTTAATGTGAAAATCCACACCAATCACATTCTCTGAAATATCTCATTTCACAACTTTCAGGAGTATGTTCGATAAACCCGTGCGGTTTGTACATGACTGGCTTGCAGTGGTGTTATCAAAACTTTGATGGGTCATTAGCTTTTTAAGAGTTTACTAAATTCTAATTACTAGTCTTCTTTTTATCCATTTGTGAAGTGATTAGAAGCTACAAGCCACACACAAAGAAGAGTATGATACTAGGATGCTTTTTTTTTGTTTTGTTATTGCAATGTGATAATTCATCCCAATTTGGAAAGTGACTGCGCTGTCCTAACCCAGTCATGAATTGAGGAAAAGTTACCCTAAAATTCATTATTGTGTTCTTTTTCTCCAGAATACTGAAATTGAAATTGCCTTTACAGGGATTAGCATCTGAGAGCCAAGTCATCTCACACAAAAGCTTCTGAGAAGCATGTGACTTAAAACATTTATTCTTTTAAACACAAAGGAAAAAAGAAAAACGCCCACATTCTGCTAATAAAGTTAATGCAGATTTTTAACAGAAGGGTTTTATCATTTGGATAACAGATTCAATATTTCTTTGGCAGACTTCTGGGTCTTGTTTTTGTTTAAAATTAGCCTTGTTTTTGCTTATATTTATAACAGGTTGAACAGTAATAAATTTAAGCAATGACATGAAACAAAGGCTATTCTCTTTTTTTAATCCTATTAAATAAATAAAAAAACAAAAAAAAACAAAAATAAACTAAAAAGACAGACCGCAGACCTGTGGTTATACAGAACTCTAAAACACCAGCCCGTAATCACTCCCTGTGAATGGAGAACAAAAAAGAAAAGAACTGTACGAAACAATATAGCTCTGCCTTTTGAGAGAGCATTATAGTCTGGCTGTGTTCAAACTCCGTTTGATATCAGTTTCAGCTCCGTGCCAGCGCTGTGGAAGTCCTGGCACATGTTGAGTTTACATGGTCCAGCCAACACCTCCGCCCCTCTTTTTCTCTCTTCCTCATCTCCTTCTCCATCTTTCATTCAACATCTTTCATTCACTCAATCTCTTAATCTGTCAGTCAAACTGACTTTGACTGACTTTGTTCTTAACTTGGACTCACCTGTCACCTCTCTGTACCTTTCTCTTTTCATCAGTTTTTCCTGCACTCTATATTTTCCCATGATTAATTTAACTCCTTTTTGGAAGCATATTGTACACACAGTGTCATGTTGAGCCAATTCTTTGCTTGTGGTATAATCATTTTTCTGACCGCTGGGAAATTAAAGTTGATATAAATAGTTGAGAAGAGGATGAAAAAAAATCAAAAGACTTTAAATTACATCACAATAGTCTGGGCATCTAAAGAGGTCTGACCTCTGACCAGTCATGACCTCTTTCACATAGCGTTGAGGCTCCGCTTTATTTAGGAAAAGCCAATGCAATTCTTCAGTGTTTCACCCTTAAAATGAATAAAACTGATATTTAGAGAGCAGCAGAAGACTAAGAAAATAGTAAAAGGTTTGCCAGCTGCTGCTGCTTCAGCTCACAATGCAACTGTAATATAATATTTTTAAAAGGTGGATCTGGCTTTTGTTGCCTTTGACACCAGGATTTAAATGAAAAAAACAAAAAAACAGGAAATTCTGAAAAAAATCCAAGCATTTATTAAAATCTGGAGATTAAAACAGGATGACTTCTGTCACGTAATGGTCCTGAACACATCTGGAACACATCTGACTAAAGGTATAGTTATGAAACCAAATGCTGTTGCTGGCCTGTGAGTTCCGACTTCCACAGAAAAATCTTTTGATTTGGGCCTTTCCCACATTTAAGTTTGAAACTCAGAGTCATTTCATTTGCATAGCAGGTCACATTTTAGCTGAACAGGGTGCCCAAATAGTCTGCCACTCACTTTAGGTTTCATCCGAGTTGGTCAAAGGAACTTTCTTTCCTCAGCCGAACATTAAACAGGGAGCTGGAAATCAGCATTTAAGCAAACCAATATCAGGCTGTGACATGTTCTTAAAAAGTGGAAAAAGGCTGGACATCTGCACTAAGTGCAAGGCTGAAATCCACATTTTCAATTTCTGCAGCTACAGAGACTGAAACTCTGTGTGTGTCTGAGAGTGTGTGAGTGTGTGTGTGTGTGTGTGTGTGTGTGTGTGTGAGTGCGTGTGTATGTGTGTGTGTGTGTGTCTGCAGGGCTCTTTTTGTCCTCTCATTGTAGAAGCAGAACTACCTCCGCAACTGCTGAGCGCGTCCAGCCAACATGCACACAATATAACCCTGTAACCTCCTGTACTGTACATCGACTCTCCTTCCGTGTCCTGCTGTACTCCCTCCACCCTTCTCGGCTACTTTCCGTTTCTCCAAACTCCCCCGCAAACATTACCTGCTGTTTTGGGCCAGACGGCAAGAAAATAACCGAGCATGAGAAAGAAAAAGAGTTTTGAGTGTATGCGGCATGTGTACTTTGTAATCCAGTTCCCTGTATTTAATTTGCTGGAAAGCAATCATTATCCTCATCATGATGTTTTATCTACTGATTTACTCATTAACTCAGGGAGAGAGAGGTGCTATGAAGAGGAAGAGGGAGAGGGAGTGGGAGGGAGGACGTGGAGGTGACAGTGAAGAGCTGCAGATAACAAGAGAGCCAATGAGATGTTTGAGGTTTGAATACCAAATAATGAACGAAGTCCAAATTACCATGATGCCTGCATTCATTGTAAAATGAGAAACGAAACTTGGCCGCGCTAGAATACAACAATACTGATTTAAGAGCCAAAAGGGAGTCATCAAAAACCTCATCAACCATTCTTAATAGGAAGTAAACAACAAGCTTCTGCATCATGTCCAATTCTCTCTGGGAGACGGTTGCACAAGCCTGTGGAAGTAGATTTGAGTATTTTTAGATTTTTAGTAGCCTCTCCGGAGCCAGGTGTGGATCAGAACAAGAAGGTTAAGTTGGAGTGTGATTTCTGAGGTGAACTGAAGGAAAATCAGTTTATTCTGCTCCAGAGGGACATTTACATGTTACAGCGGTGAAGTATCAGCTTGGGCTGCTCCTAGTTGTGTCTGCGCTGTTTCTCGTCCATTAGCCCTGCTCCGTTTAGTAAAAGACAGAATTCAAAGCGGACAAAGACCTCGGTTTTGACTGAAAATCTCTCATGGGGGCCGGGAGCGGGCTGCACATGAAGTAAAGGCTGGGTTCGGTTCTGGGCCCCGGACCTCTGCTGCACGCCTCTCTTTCTGTAATGTTTCCTGTTTAGCCGCTGTCAAATAAAGGCCACCAGTGCCACAAAGATCTTTATGAACAATAAGACGATATAAGAGGCTGCTGTCCAGGCTTTTCTCCTGTGTCACTGCACAAAGGTTTTCAGGACAACTATTTTAGCAATAACTGTTCCGAAAAAATTCAATACCTTATGAAACTAGAGAAAATGGTCAGCATTGTACGTTTAGATACATAAGATCACCTGTTCTGAACTATAAAAAAAGAAAAAAAGGAAGAAAAAAAAGAGTAAAATGAGAAAAGAGAGACTTATAAAAGCCACACAACTAAGAGGAACAAGGTTTGATATTCAATTTGGACAAATAGATGAGAGGGACAAACCAGCTAGATTTAATGAAACCGGGAAAGCCGAAAGTCAAAGAAAGAAACAGAGTGACAGAAAGAGAAAAAGAGGTCTGAGATGAACGCACTCCTGTCAGCCCGTGCCCCTGTTGCTAGGTTACCAACTATAGATGAATGGGTTAAAAAAAGTATCTCAGGAGCAGCGGTGACATAGTTAGCTGGTCTCCATCAAACAACACACACCACTCTCACACACACACAAAAAAATGGAGCAACTCTGAACACGTTATGAACACCAATTAAATTCTGGCCAATCTACACTGCACAAACAAGCTCCGGACACACAACCACAATAAACAGAGAGCTCAAATCCCGGAGTGACCTTAAGCCAAAACGCCAGGCACGCTTGCAGATTAAACACACCATAAAGTCACTATGACACAATGTAACTCCCAATAAACATCTCGTAAAAAGCATTCAGTCATCCCAGCAGCTATATGCTGCTGTTAGCATGTAGAGATTTAGCTGAAAAATTCTTCATTGCAGTAACATGCAAATGTTTTTCCTTCAGGTGTTAACAAACCAAAAGCTGAAGAAAAATTCTGTACTGAAAAGTATATCACACAGTCATCTGAGTTTAGAAGCCAAATCGTAACACAGTTGCAGCTATTTTCCAAGAACACCTTTTAAACCCA